CAAAATTAAACAAAAAGGACTAATATAATTTATTTCGATCACTCAATATACAATTAGTTTAATACTTTCTTTGTTTAGTCACAAGAACTAACTCAAATTTTTTCGAACTTTTTTTTTTTAAATTGAAAATGCTACAGTTTTCTAGACTAACGGAATAATAATCATAAAAATGGTCTGAAATAAATGGGGCATGTTGCATGTTGTCAGTTAAACTTCGTTAAAACTTAAGCAATTGTAAAAACAAAACAGAAAAACAAAACAAGAAAACGTTTCCTTTAATAATTATTATGTCCTAATTTTTTTCATTAGAAAGTTATTTTTACCGTTCGGTCAGTATGAAATATAACACTTGATTATGCACGCGAAGCCTGGTTCCTAAATCCAGTACAGTTTGCTACTTTTTTTCGTCTATATTTTACTAGTACAAAATACTAACGTTTTCTGAAACTTTTTTGTATTTCTTTTCTACGTAAACAATTAGACACGAAATTTAAGAAACGCAGGGCGAAATACTAATATATTTACACGAACAAATGGGGCATAAACCGACCATCTTTAGTTAAAAAATGATTTTAGCAGCTAGAACACATCTGGAGAGATTTCTGCACTTATATTTTTAACATAGGGAACCGACCCATATCGGCCTATTTTCCAGGGTTGAACAGTATCGCGTTACAAATGTATCGTGATAGTGCTTCAAAAATACATTTCGTATCTGTATTTCTGCATTGCGATACATTTTTTTCACCAGTATCTGTATTCCTGTATCAAAATACATTTGGAATATGTCTTTGTAGCGCGATACAATCAGGATGAAATGTATTTCCTTACATTTCCTGAGAATTACCCGCCACCTCCCACCCCCGGAAAAAAGAAAAAAGTCCGAAAGCATTTTTTTTTTGTACTTCTGAGGGCACCAGGGTCAAGGTAATCCTGGGGTATTGTTAATATGCTGAACAAGGTTCCTCTCGATTTTCCAAACTATTTTTCTCTGCGTCCCCTTCTCTCTTCTGAGAAGTGTTGCGAATTCGGGACTCGAACCAGGTGGCGTGCTAGGAGTAGAGTCAGAGCATCTTCTGCCGCAGGTCCTTAGGTAAGGATTTCTTGAGTCGTTGTTTCCTGGCATCCAATGCCCGCTGCTAACCGCAGCCTTAGCGTGCACAGTACACCCAGCCGGCAAAGCTGAATCACAGTCCCTTGAATGACGAGCCTGGCGGTCGTTGGCTTGAAATAGTAGGTTGACTCACGCAGCGAAGTTTAGTACACATTCGAATGCGTTTGCGGCTGCGCCCGTAGTATTGCACGGCTCGAGGGTACGTCATCAGCCGACCTGATATAGACCCGCTGCTCTGTTTATCCGAAACCCAGGAAGGTCAGACGTGGCCTCGCTGTGCCAATCCAGACTGCGCACACCTGCGACTCGCCGAGAGCGCGCTGTTTCTCGAAGAGCTCGCACCTGTGCCGGCAATATCAGGTCGCAATTTACGAGGTCTCTGTTTGGATGATGCTAGACGAGACTTGAGGACTGCAATCCATGCGTCGGTGGTGGAGGGTCGGCAGGAAGGACCTTCACAACAGGGATGCCACCGTATCGTTTTTTGAACCGTAACAGACGATAAAACATGTGTTCGATGCTTCAGGTGGTCCACCATTCTCAAATATTCCAAATGACACTTCCCGCAAGATCTTCAACGAGGTAAAGCCGCCTCGGTGGCTCCGAGGCGAGAGCGCCGGCCTACGGATCCCCAGGTGGCGGGTTCGAATCCCGACCGAGGTGCCCGCAATATGACGGAGGCTTATTGCGGAGAAGGCGCCGTGTAACCGAGCTTTCGGTTGCACGTCAAAAGATCCCCAGGTGGTCGAAATTAATCCTCAGTCCTCCGCTGGGGCGTGCCAGATGCCCGTCGTAGGTTTGGCACGTAAAACCCCCAAATTTGACTTTCAACGAGGTAACCTACAACAAAAGTACCTATTGTCCTTTCATAGAGCAGCGTGGTAAAGTTTCATGTTCAAGGCCACACTAAAGAAAAAGAATACCAGCTCATTCCACCATGACGTCATGTGATCAGCGCTGACAGGGGCATCCTTATTGGACATGGGCGTTGTGACGTTTTGATAAGATTTAGGGTGACATCGAATTTATTTAGATGCCGAAGTGTTTTCGCATCCCTCGTCAGACAGACAGGATGTCAGGGAAGTTAGACCGGTCAGTCCTTGAGATAACGTTATTTTGAGCCCACTGACGACTCCTCGCCGTCTGAAACCACTACCTTCAAGGCAAAGTGCCAAGCCTACGGGAAAGTAATTTCGGGATCAAAAACTTCCTCTTCAAACTTCAAGCATCATCTCAGTTGGCGTCTCAAACTAATTTGAAAAATGTATTGCAATATTAGTATTTATGTATCTGTATTTCTGCCCTTCCTAAAATGTATTCCTGTATTTGTATTCCCAAATACATTTTTGCCTATATTTAAATTGTATTTCCGACACGTATCGTGATACAGTTTTAGAGATATATTTTAGTATCAGTGTTTTAGCTATTATTTTAATGCATACTAGTATTTGTATCTCCAAATACATTTTTTATTATTTCTGCCCAACACTGCAATTTCTCAAAAAATGGGGGTCCGCCCTGTGTCCCGTTTAATTTTCAAATACGGAACGGGTCAGATACTATGGCTTTACTTAAATCCCGATAATCGCTGCTAAAACTCAAGTCGCCCGTTTTCTGTTTTTTTTTTGGTCGGCGTGTGAAGGGCATTTGAGCAAGTGCTGAATATTGGACGTACAAAACTGAAGTTTATGATATGTTTTGTCCATCTTGTGCTTGTTGGGAACAAGACGTCGTACTTTTGTGTACAGGGAAGAGCCTGCGGCCTGGATGTAATGTGTCACACCATGCTTCAACGGCGTCTCGATGGTGCATGGCTGCAGGATGGGTGGAACATCTTCTAAAACGCGTCTCCAAGTGGCTGCGCCGTTGCACCTTGTAGCATAGCGAGTCGGACAGAGCACCTTGAGTGCCGAGACAGGTCGCGACGTCCAAACGTCGCCTTCCATTGACGTCCAGAATCATAGCAATGTTTTGCAGGAAATTGGCACCAATAATGGCGAACCGGTCGTCCAAAACATAAAAGGCCCTCTGAAAAGTTTGCCTGTGGTCAAGATAAAAGCGTTAGTGATGTTTGGCCGTCGGTTTCTGTTTGCAGACCTGTTAACATTGGTGGCACGGTTCTATTTTCTGCACCGGTGTCGACGTGGTACTGTATCTTTTTCTTCTTGACTGTGATGTAAAACAAACGGCTAGATTCGACGCCGGACACGCCGCCCGCCTTCAGAACGTCCTCCTGGCGTTTCCTGAAAAACTTCAACCTTCCCGGTAATTCTTGGTGGCACGTGCCGTGCCTCGGAAGGTACCAGCACTTATCGGAGCGGGAACGGGAACGGGTGCAGTGACGGCCTAGTGCTTATCACTTTCCACGGAAGAGATTTAAATTTTATTTCCTGTTTTTTGAACATTAATCTACTATGGCTTGGCCAGGAAGCGTGTTATTGAAATTCAGAGTCGAGAAAGTTTTTTACCGAGCACTGCGGACGATCTAATTTTCCAGGTTACGTATCACACTGATGGACTTCGTCCATTAGACGGATGCCGGCGTCCATAAATACGTCTGTAATGAACCCTTGTGTGATATCAGGATTATGCGTACCTGCTCGGGAAGCATATGGACGAACAGTTCCAATGGTATCAACCCGTAACAACCAACAACCATAGGCGCGGTCTCCTAGAAGTTGCAGCATGCGTCAAAATAGCCCTGACGGTTTCTTGCACTCTAACTCCTCTCTGACATAGAGTTCCTGAAGGCGACGCTGTACTGATGCCATAGTCCTGCAGATAGGCTCTGCCTTGAGCGTGCTCTAGGGTTCATTCTCCCGTGGTGATGGAAGAATTCCAGAATTACCGCAGCTGTTGCCTGTACTAATGCAGCGACAGTGTGGTCGAACTTCAGCAGTTTTGAAGCCATTCTGTTCGCAAGGAACAATGAGTCATTGGTAATAAATTACTGCTGTGCACCCGTCGTTCAAACGTTGGGTCGCTTGAGCTTGAAAACAGTCACGTTCGGATGCGGTGGAAGCGCGTGGAAAAACAGGAATATTAACCGTTAAAGGATTGATTATCGGTATGGCTGGACAGCATTGGATTCGGGAAGATGCCGGGAGGTCGGTTGCCGAAGGTTCGCGTCCGGTCCAAGTACAGGCCACGGGTCGAAGAAAATTTTCGCACTCATATTTAATAACGCATTAACAGTTTCCTCACATTAAAAGTTAAGAAGTCGGCTCCCCGCTGCCATGTGCAACTTCGCTGACCCTGGCACCTTCCGCACGGGGCGGGATTGTTTCTTTTTGCCTGTTTCGGGTGAGCCGCTACAACTGCACTATTTACCATGCCTACTTTACTAAGTTGCTTGCGCTTTCAAAAATGACGTATTGTGCCTACGTACATAAAGAGCACGCGTTGAACAACTGATCTTGGCAATATTTGAAGATCATCGATCGACTGCAGAATTCGCTAGGCGGTTGAAAAATTGCTTTAACAATAAGCAGGATTTGCGCTAGGACATTGATTATCTAAAACACCACGTTCATTGTTTGCGAAAAAAAACGTTCCAATAATCTCTCGTTGAATATTGTCCTTAATAGTTTCTGTGTGCTCTGCGAGGAAGTAGCTGTGTGGTGATTATTCAGAGCTTTTGGCTATCGACATGCTCACATGAATTTTGGTATTCATAATTAACGAAAGGCAAGCTTTTTGAATATACCATGTAGAAAGGAGAGCACATATAGAAATTAGCAATACGATATGCTGTTACTCCTACTATAATATGAACAGAATCGTTCCACTGCTTCCAGTATTGTCTTGCTTGATCTGTTCTTTATATTGAGGTAGAAGGGCGTCAGTATATGTGGTGACTTTGTTGTTGTATTTTGTGTTTTTTCAGGATAAAGACGGTGGACAAGACGTATGGTGACAAAAAACCAAAGGAAAAAGAGATGGAACTTATGGTCAACGATGCGACAGAGAAATAGGGATATTGGAAAACAAAATCACCAAATAAAGCGCCGGCCGAACTAGCCATATCAATAAATTATATACAAGCAGAAGCCATCGGTCCTCCTTTCTTGTTTCGCAACAATTTTTTTAAATTCTGGTCATTATGAAGGTACAAGTGGCCCTCAGTAGTCTATATGATTTCCCAGATATTTATAATTTTAAGCGATTTCAATATAAACTGATAAATTCATTGGAAATTTTTTTTTATTTATTTAAAATACATTAAAGCGGCCTGATGGGGAATTTTATGAGACCGGATGCAAAGTTTATAGAAGAAAAACGAAAGCAGGCAAGGAAACACCTTATGCACATAACATAACATATATATATATATATATATATATAAATTAACACTCAAGGGAAAAAGGTATTTGGACATTGAGGAACGGCCACATAGATAACACCCGTAAAATATTTTATTTCACTCTAGAGGAATAATAAAAAAATTGTCACGTCAATGAACAAAGCCCATCCGCACATATGCTTCGATCTGGAGGACAGGAAAATAACAATTCACAAGCTGATCTATATTTCTTTCTGCCTGAATTTTGTACTACATTCGCGGGCAACGGGTTCCGTCCTGAAATGGAAAGCTGTAATGGAGATTTTAGAAACTGATTAGTACGCTGCTCGATAGGTGAAATTTATCAGTAGGATCGTGTCCAGCAAAGATGGGGTGATGATATAAATAATTCATTTTGTGAATGAATGCAAGAACAAAAATATTACGCCTACTATCTATTAAATGTAAATGAGCTGTTTTAGTGCTGGTACGCTCGTGTATGATAATCTTGAAATATATAGCGCGTTCAACTATTTTGTACTCTTTGTAATTTAGTGGTAAGATAACCCTGGTGGGGCCCTTATGACGCTGGCATTTTGAAGTTGAGATCTGGCGAATTATTCAAAAGCAAGCAGTAGAGATTCTGTAAATGCTATAGGGAACTGTCTTCTTATTAGCCCCAATAATCTACTTGACTTGCATGGTATAATTAGGCCGTGTACTTTCCGGTTTTAACCGAAAAGCCCCGATAAACATCCACCGGTGTAGAAAATAAAAAAATCGGTTAAAACCGAGAAACACCGGTTTTTGGATATTTCCGTAATAACGGGAGTTTTTTATTATTTTTTTACCGAAAAAAGTTTTATGCAGACGTTCGTCAGACTCGCTCTTTCTATTTTTCTGTTTTTTTTTCTTTTACGGTCGTCGCATTGGGTTGAACGTCAGGATAGGTCTTCCAAGGTTTCTTAGTAGTAATCGAGATGCGTTTCTTTTGGTCAGTGCATGTTACTTTTCGCTTCAGTTTACATCCCCAAAAGTTTGGCCTTATTGTGCTCTTTTGTAGATTGCCCCGTTGAAGGTTGCCCTTCCTTGTGGACCCTAGTTGGGTGCTTTCAATTGTCTTTCATATTGCTCCAGACGCAGCCACTCCGCGGATGATTCGTTCTGGTTTCGCGTGCAGTAATTAATTTTTGCGTCAAGATGGAGCCGCCAGAGGGATTTCTTCCCTATGACCGCATCTACCGTTTTGCCGTGCACGATGAACGTGAGCTTAGCGCTGGAAGCTGAGTTCCTCCATTACCGCCAGTACGCCTTCCGTGCCGCTGTTGACCCTGTCCTGTTTCGAAGAAGCTGCATTCACCAGACTGGTCAGTACTCTCCCAAGCCTGTTTGGACATTTTTGGAATTCCCGTTCTTGAAATTTCGCGTCGTCAACAGGAATGAGCGGGTGGGAATGACAGATGGGATCTTTAGAATACAGACATGCATATAATACAATATTGAAGTTTAAAAACATTTTGCATCACATGTAAATAAACGTTTGTTTCTTTTTGCAATTTTTTGTTGATAAAAGCCGTTTTAACGGTCTCCACGAGAAAATTCACCGAAATACACCGATATTTTAGAAATAAATAAACACCGAAAAACATCCGCCGATCTTTGACATAAATAAATACCGGAAAGTATACGGCCTAGATATAATCAATGTGATATCACCAACCTATAAATTAAAAAAAGAAGAACTCCGAGATATTTGTTTTTATTCGCTTTTTAAAACACACAGTCCAATATGCAATTGGAATACTTGTGTTTTTTTGTTGACACAGACATATATTTAGTTTCTATACGTTGATGGGACCCACTTTCTAAACCACACAAAAAAACGAACAAAAAACAATAGATTCTTCAGGTCGCTCTGCAGTATCACTATAGTATTCATATTAACGGTCTCCTTATACAGAATACAACAAGAACAACCTTATGGATGAAGATATATTCAGAGGGAGGTAATTGTCATAGACAAGGAAAGGTTGAGAGCCAAGCTCAATGTTCTGGGTCACGCTTGACCTCACATTTCTATTTTATCATAAATTGTCTGAAATGGCAACCGAACTGCGTTTTATTCATAAGCAATTCTTCAGCTCAAAGTAAAATGGATGGGTCTAGTTTCATAATTCAAAGATTTTGTAACAACGTACCGTTTGTGTGGTTTACAGTCAAATACACTTGACTAGCCTAAAGAATATGACAGTCTGATGCAGAATATTAATATTTTGTATAGAAATTGGTGACTAGTTAAAGGCAGGTCAGTGATGCTGCAAAAATACTACCTCAGTTTTGCATGATTTATTCTTTTTTTAATGTCATGTGGGTCTTCAAAAAGAATATAATTATTTATTAAGAAATTATTAATACGACCGTAAATTATATGTTCTAGGAGTTTGCGAGGGCCGCTCGTAAGTGACACTGGGTTGTAGTTATTCCGAGATAACGCATTACCAGATCTGTAGGCGGGAATCTCTTTCACATGTTTTCAGTCACTGGGCAGACAACATTCGTCGAGGGACTGTCGAAACAACAATGCTAGCGCCTCACAAGAAAATGACTTTATAAGTTTCAACAATTGGCTGGTATTGCTGTCTGCACCTGGAGAGGAACGACAATGGAGGCCTTCAATAAAGTTGGTAAAGCATGCTACGTGGACATACCGTACTGTTTTCCAGAAAAGCGTGGTCATTGTTAAACTCACATGAAAGCATGGAAAATGGTTCATTCGTAAAGCATCACTAATATATCGCTGAAATTATTTGCAGCTTCAAGGTTAGTACTACACATGTTTCCTGGAAAATCAGTGAGTCACGAGTTGTAAACCTTGAGCTTGCCGGATTTAGACAATCTTAAACTCTTTTGGGATTTGAGTTCAATGTTTCTTTAAAGCTTTTTTTGTAAAATGTAGTTTTAGATTTTTTTATTTTGGCAGCACTAAGCGACGAGTAGAATTATACAGATTCAACGATAAGTCATCGTTCCTTTCTAAAGCCCTTCTGTACAAGCGTTAGTTTTGTTAAGAATACCAAGTTTTTGAAAAATCATGGATGTTGAGGTTGGTTCGATATCTTAGCGATTGGACAAAACATTACCATGACTAGTTTTATGTGTATTTTAAAAGTCCTCCAAGTTTTGTTTTTCAGATTGTAACTGTGAATACTTCTTAAATTCACAATGAAAAATCCTGGCGACTCTGAATTTTGAAGGATTTAGCGTTCGAGTAGTCGCGAAATATCTAAACTGATTACGAGACTGCTGAGGTATAATTAGGATTCCGTGTTTCCGGATAAACCTGATAAATTCTGAAAAACACTAGCCAGTAAATTTTTGTCATTTCGGATTTATGCTATCAGCACCAAATATCGAGGTCGTTATTCTACAGCCAAGTTTGATCAGAGCAGAAGGTATGTGGTACTGAGAAAATACCACCCCAGTTTTCTTTTAAATCCGAAATTATTAACGAAAGAGGTGTTACCGTTTATCTCGTCAAGGTTCATTCAAGGCAACAGGCCATTGCACTTCTGGGTCAAGACAGAAGTGAATGTTCCGGTGTTCAGTTTGCCCCAAACTCGTTGTGCATCTTAGAGGAAGACGGGGTTGAGTTTTTTTTTATCAGTAAAAGCTATGAGCCATAAAGATTTTAGTAGAGGGGGAACGAGACGGGCAGTTGACGCTTCTACATTACACACTTTACAAGTATGTGAATGAAATAGGATGTGATAAAAACGAGCTTCTCTGCGACTATTTCTGTGTCTAATTGTTTGGGTTATGGTAACTGTCAGGGGTTTAGCAGTTTTAGGGAATCGATGGAAGTTTATTGAAGCACTAATTGTTCGAAAGATTTATCGTGGGAGAGATTATAATTGCCGTTCGCAAGGGCTCTAAGCCAAATCCAGTTAGAGAAATATTATTTGATACACGCGCGTTCTTTTGAATCTAGCGTACGTTCACACTCGAATATTTATTTAAAATTTTCGGAAAATAGGGAAGACTGCAAAATTTAATCATCCGAATTTTGGAGAAATGGGAACGTAAGAAAAATAAAGTAACAAGAATTCTTACACTTTAGCAAAAAATATACTCCAAACATTTTGGAGGATGCTTAAGCTTCGGGAGTGAAACGCGGTGGCGTTATCGGGCCTCGTTCGCATCGCCTTCTCATTCGCTTCTCATGCTCTTCCTGCCAGTGAGGAGAAAGTTCGGTGCACATGGCCTAGTCAGTGGCGTGTCTGGCTACCAACCCAAGGGTTATGGGCTCAAATCCCGTCTAAAATTTTTCAAATTTTTTTTCTTTAAGACGAAGAAATCGCTTGATAAAGTGAAATCATTTGAGACATGCGACGACCTTTAATTCGCATTACATCTCATGTTTTAATTACTTTCATTATACGCGTGACGTCACGTCTCACGCAAGCTTTGTGGGATGTTTGAAATCCCCGCGTAAGGTCACATGGATGTTACGTCAAGACCCGATCGACCAATCGTTTTTTGAGTCACGCCACCGACGTCGGCTTTTCTACCAGGTCACGGAGGCCAGATTTTCTGCGACACTAGCAGCTTAACGCTATCAAATTTCACGAAAAATACATTCCAATAACACGGAGCCCTAGTTATAATCTAGGCTTCTATTAACATTATTAAGCCATCACTAATTTCTTATGAACACTCACACATAAACATTTTAAGTGAGTCTTAATAAAACAACTCTAGAATATAGAATG